GGCAGCTACCTGCTAAGGCCATTACAGTTTTGCAAGCTGTTCATTACATAGTACTTACAAATTATGCTGAAGAGTTTCAGGGCTTACAGATGTGCAAAACATGGCAAGAGGTTAACAAAGGAGTGAAACCAAGCCTCAAGATTTTTTCTTCACCTTCTCAAAGTTTGCAATGGCCTTTTCTTTCTGTTTTTTGTTCTTTTTTGTTTGTTTGTTTTGTTTTTGTTGTTGTTGATTGTTATTGTTGTTGTTTCTTGTTTGTTTCTTTGGTGGTTTGATTTTTTTTTGTGGGTGTGGGGGATTTTTGTTCTGTTGGGGGGGGGGGGGGGTTGGTTGCTTGTTTATTTGTTTTACTGGAATCAAATATAAAATTTGATCCTGAATTTTATTGCTGTTCTCTCCCATCTCAAAATTCTTAAAAGACAGGACAAAACAAAAGAGTTGGCAGCAGCTTCCATATCGTAAGCCCTATGGCAGCAAAACTTCCTGCCCCTTTCTCCTGGAATGTCTTTGATATATGTTAAAAGACTGGTTTCCATCATGGTTCAGACACCAAATGCAAGGCAGTAAGCACTGTCTGGCTTGTGGTACAGATTCTGTCTGCTTCGTACCATCAGGATAAAGTTAAGGTGGCAAAACAATAATTCATTTGCAGATGAACTTGTACATAGCCAGCTGTTAAGTGATATGTATGTACATATAAGTACAGACACTACTGATTAATGCTAGAACACCATTCTTCCTTATAACCCCTTATAATCCCTCCATAGGGACAGCTGCACTGAAAAAATACAGCTGGAGTAGCAGAGAACAAGTTCCAGCTCAAAGTATGTTCTGAGATTCCGTCCATTTTCCTTCACTGGTCCAACAACTGGTCTTAGGATAAAGTGAAATAGGAGGGTTCCATTACACAGCAGACAGCTAATCTAGTATTAATAAGAATTATAGGAGCAGTTACATCAACAACAGACAATAGACAAGACCAAAACCCAACAATCCACGTAGAGCAAATGGCAATTCTTTATACAATCAACAGATACTGGTTTAGATTTTAGCACAAATCCTAAGCTGCAGTTTATAGAGGAAAATAGTTTCCTTTATCTTCTCCTCAGCTATTCACCATCAGTGAGTACACAGAGCAACCTGAAGTTGTCTTCATGTCTCAGATAGGGTTTAATGCAGAATTTTATATCCAGTAGCACAGGAATACATTTCATTTGGGGTGCTCATGCAACAGCGGATGCAGCAGTTATGGTGAAGTCTTAGGTGTGCAAATCCTGAAGAGATATGAATATTCTCTTACCAGCAACTCCTGTGAGGTAATTAACAAACTGGCACAACAATCCCAGCATTTGCTGTTCGCTACAAGATGAACTGACACCATTTACCACTGTATATCATACGCATGTACCCTTTGATGGTATGTGTCTAGGATGTGGGAGCTGAAGGCACTAAACTAAATCAAAAGTATCAGACTGAAGTTGTCAAAGATGGATCCAGCATCCAAAAATGCAGAAAAAGAACAGAAAATAAAGACTGGGAACACCATAATGTAGAATAGGCTATAGGTAAGGTTAACAACAAAAAGCAGGCCTTTTAGCGTAATTTTATACATCATTATGTGCACCTTTCTAGTTATTTCAGTGGAAGAGCTAGCAAGGGTATATAAAGGACTATCATATTACAGACAATTTCTTCAAAAGACCATAAAAGAGGGTCCAGACAACTTTATTTTTGTGCTTTTGCCTGGTAGTTGCTTGCAGAATCAAAGATCAGGGAAAATTCTTGTATTTAAGGATTATTTTGTAGCTTCTGTGAGGTGTAATCAACTGTTATTAAAACTAATTTCATCATTACTAAGTCTCAAACAAGACATATCAAGCACCACTAACAGAAACATGTTAACTACAGTTAGAGTAAGTGTAAAGTTTTTTGTTTCTTTTTAATCTGCATCAGAATTCAAGGATTACAAATCATATTAACAAGCAGATGTGACAGATTTTTTTTTTCCTCCCTAGACTGCACCTGTAAAGCAGAAATTCCCCAAGTATGTCTACTAGAGCATGCACTCACAATAAACGTGGTTTGAGGTTATTTAGGCATGTTTTTCTGCATTAGAAAGATGCAGGTACCTCACAACCACTCTTGGTTGGGTGGATTTTGGGCCTTACACTGTAGGCAGCAGACTTTTGACAGGAAAAAAACTTGTGTGAAGTTCACCCATAGGCCAGAGGCAGCACAAAGCTCACAACTCACCTGTCTCATATTGCAGCTTCCTTCTGGTGGATATCATGGCCTTCTACTGTTTATCCACAGAAGAGACTAAGTTAAGTGAGTGAGCATTTAATCTAGACAGGTAGCCAAGAGCATCAGCCTTTAGGAGAGCAGTCAGAGCAGCAGTATATTGATAAGGACAAGATGATTTATTACAGGTTAACTAGCTGTATGCATCAAAGTATTAGCATTTGCCCTCTCTTTTCCTGTCTGCAGTTCATTACAGTCCTGCTGATGCATTTGTTACACCTTTTTGACCATAACAATGAAGATTCAAAATTAAATTCTTGGTATGTTTGATTAACTCAGGTGGAGCAGGAAACATAACAGAGGCAGAAAGACCAAGAATAAGTTTCAAGAGCCAAGAAATTGTATCACAGAAGAAATTTTCTTACCTAGAATAAGATTTAGATGAAAACACAACACTTTGATTCTATTTATGATTTGTTCTGACACTTCCCCACTACAAAAATTACATAAATTCAAAACCAAACACATTGACAGAAAGAACAGATTTCCTCTAGACTGAAACATTTGTACTCTGAATGAACAATCACCACAGTATCCACAGCATCCAAAAGTAGATCACCCACATCAACAATGTATTATTTTGACAGTTATTTGGCCATGTTCTGTTTGGAAAGCTTTGTGTTTTCCCAGGAGAACCAGAAGAGCACCACGGGAAGAAAGGACCTACGTAAAGAAGGCTAAAAGGCAGAGCAAGGCAATCAGAAGCCAACAGGAAAAGAGGGCAGCTGGGGAAGCAAATGGCAGCAGCCATCCCACCCACTCTCCTCACAGAGAAGAAGCGGCTTCCCCTGACAAACAGCCCCATGCAGACAACTGTGGCCTTTCCCTTGTCTCAGGCCACTTGCCTTCAATGGTCACCCCGGTAAGTGGCACCCACACAGCAGCAGGTGGGAGGGAGCAGTGGGGCTGTGGAGGTGAGAAATGGTGCTTGCAAACGTGGGCAGGGATATGTGCTGAAGCAAATCCCATGCAATGGGGACACAAAAATGAGAACAAACACCCAGCATGTCCTTACCTGACACTGCAGCAAGGCAGCCCTGCTGGAAGCCCTCCACAAGATGGCTGCTGCCTCAGGGCGTCTCGGCCTCTCACTGAGGGAGAGCCAGGCCCTTCTCCTCACAGGTGCTTCCCCAGCCCCACATACCCCTCAGCACACTCCATCCCCAGAGGCTTCCCCTCAGAGGGGCAGCACAAGGAGCTCCTTCCCAGGGCACGGGACACTGAGGCTCCTATCCCCAGCCAGCTCTCACTCTTCTGGTCCCACAGCCTCACAGGGGGCACCTCCCCACATGAGGTCTGGCCCCTTTCACTGCCCCTCACCAGACCCATCTCCTCAGCAGCCCAAGCTCATTTTCCACCCCAAGCACAGGTGCAGCTGAGCTCAGGTCACCCCCGCATTAATTCATCCTCTTTAGTAACAGGCTTGGTTTTGTTTTTATTTACCTGAGCATCATCCACATATGCAGGTTTGTGATGAAGCCATCACTCTTGGAGTCTTTCTGGCAGGTCGACTTGACAGGAGAAAGGAACTGCTCCCACCTGCAGGTGTTGCAGCAGGCCAGGGCAGTGCACGGCTGAGGGTGACAGGAGCAGCAGGTGAGCTCAAGCTGCCCCTCCACTCAACACACAACCAGCCCGCTCTCTCAGATCCTCCCCAAGGGCATGTCTTCCACATGCTGGTTTCTCACCTCACATGAGGTGAAGTATCAACCTCCTCCTCAGGCCAGGCAGACTCAAAGGTGTCCTTCCTACCTACCATTAATTGGAGCTTCTGCTCAGGAAGTGCCAGCAGACATTGAGCCAGACAGGGAGCCCAGGCAGGCTCCCATACACACTGTCTGTACTTCACCTTTTCCAGTCCTTCTTTAAGGAGGCTTTCGCTCACATAGCAGATCCGCGGCTGTTCTCACCTGCGAGGCTTGCGAAGCCGCCATTCCCAGAGCGTCAACCTCCTAGAGCAGTCCCAGAGGAAACTTGGAGCAAGGAGCGCTCCCTGATGCCTTCCTTTAAAGGGACAGCACAGACCAAGGTAAAAAGGTCTGGCATTTAAGATGGGCCAGGCCGGAATCTTAAATCCCCGCAGTTCCTGGAAAACTTATTCCTCAGTTCTAGTTTAGAACTAGAGAACTACAGACCCATGTGTAGCCTCACCATTTCACCATAGTGATCCTCTAGCTGACCGATCAGCTACTAGGCTTTCAGGCTTTTTTAGACTTTACCTGTTTCCTCAAAGTGGTCACTTTTTGGGACTAGATGATAACCCCTGTGCCTGCCCCTTCATGTGTTACAATTTCAAAATACTGAGGAAAAACACAGGGAAAAATATGAAGCTGGCAGAGGTCTGTAGAATACAGCTTAGGTAGAAACATATTGGGACACTAAATACGAGGAAGTTAATTTAAGAATCATCAGATATCACAAAGGTGAATGCCTACTGGAAAAAAAAGTAGTAAAACATTTACTATATAGAGAAAACGGGCACTATTGGCCAAAGTGACAGGAAAAATCCCACATAAGTCAAATGTACCTTAATAAGCACATAAGGCATATCTCTTTCAAGAATTTAAAATCTCAGGTAAAAGCAGGTAAATCATCATACACAGAAAGTCAACTCTAAGTGCATTATTAATTATATTCTTGTTCAGATTCCTCCTGGAAAATGGCAAGAAGATAAATCTGCACAGGAAAAACTAAGAGCAGAAAAGGCAGAAGGGTGATGGCTACAAGAAGAAAGAACAAGAACAGAAATAAAGAGCAGCAGGAACAAATGGAAAAAGTGAAGGCAGATCTGGAAAAGGAACAAAGAAACACTGTGGAGATGTGGTTAGTGAGGATAATGTTTTCATTTTAGACAGGAACATTAGAATGGAATCATGACACAGAACTACTGTAATCCTTGGGTTGCTTTTTGTCAGCTACCCATATGCATCCAAACACATCAGTGTTCCAGCATGAAGAAACAGATGTAACACAAAGCATTTTCTGATATCATAGAAGACTAGTAACGCGTAAGAGTATGAAGGAGCCAGCAAACTGAACCAGTACCCTCAGGCAAATTCCAAACTAGAGGATAACATCACAGACCTTTTCATCTGAAACATATGCATACATAAAGTTCTATCTTTCAGCAGCATATTAGATTTTTCCTAACTTTAATGTTGCATGTATGTCTACTAATGTAACTTCTTTTTAAAACTTTCATCCATTTATCATTACTCTGAATTCTGAGACTGACCTAAAATTACAATTTCCAAGTTATTAATGAAAAATCAGTATTGACAATAAAGTCATTAAACAAATTCAGTTTTTCAACCAATTGCACTTAGCTTGTAGGCAGCTCATGCAGACAACATTCTGCTTTTTCCATACAGCACCAAAACCACTACTGATCATTTTCCCTGACAAAAACCTCAGCATAGTAACAACTACATAGTTATAAAGACACCTCATAGTGACATATGTTATTCCTTAATGATGTAAGATTTTCTACTGAAAAAAAAATGCAGTAAGAGCACTTTTGCTCTTTACCTCTGCTGACATAGCTTTAGGGGAAAAAATAACCACCACTAAATACTTCAGGCAAAGCTCTGGGAAACCCACCAGTATCAGAAACAAGCTCTGGTGTAATATAATTATTAAATTTCTATTCACCTTTTGAAATGTTTTGCTTACACAAAACAACACATTCTGACATTATTTCCTGGCTTTGCTTCTAAACTTTTTCATCAAGAACTGTATTTACTGGGAGGAACAGCGACCTCCTTCGGTGATTTAAGAGCTGCAGCCTACCTAGAAATGACTGAACAGTTTTTAGTTCAGTCATTTGTAGAAGTGGCATGCTTTAATCAGATGGTTGAAAGAAAGGATAAATCTGACTTACATATTTTTTGAGATTAGTGCCATGCCCTGCTTGATTTCAGGAAAAGCAAGTAGGCATTCAAGTCAAACTGCTGGGCTGGGAACCCTGAGTTATGGTTTGGAAATTATCTTAAACAGCACTTCATGGAGAAGAACTTTAGTTTGATTTTCTATAACTTCCAGTTCCCAAAATAAGGAGAATGTTCCTTTGCTTCATGAACCTCCTCGACTTTCTTTCATGTTCCTTACTCTCAGTGTGAACTCTCCAGCAAAAATAGCCCGTTTTGACCTCTATTCTGTTTACATCTAAACCTCAGCCAAGGCTTTCCACTGCCTCCTTGCTCGTTGTAGCCTGGGTTCTTATTCTGGGTTTGTGTTCTTGCTCCACAAAGACACATTCCGATTTTTTCTTCCAGCTCCTGTTCTCAGAACTTTCCTAGCTGACTCTGCTCTTCTCCATCCTCTGCCTCCACATCCCTGTTTCACGTAAACCACCTACCTGTATCCCATAGTCCTCCTGTCCTTCTCAAAAAACACACATGTAAAAATAATTCAGGTTTTCAACCCCTTACAGATGATGTGAAGGAAGGTAGTTGGGGGTTAGGTTTTTTTAATACTAACTTGCAGAACCAACCAGACACGTGAAGCAACACTAACCAGCACCGGTTCTCTCTTTAGTCTAATTTCTCCTTTCTTTGGTAATCTGCTTAGCTCTTTGGGCTAGAACCTGCTCTTCTTCTGGCAAGAATGTTCAGCAAACCCAAAGTTGCTATAGCAATTAATAATAATTTATGGTTTAGTTGACAGAAACTAGAACAAGAGTGGAGGCACCAGGAACAGGACGCAGCAGTCACAATTAGAGAAAGTGGCACAGGAATGCATTTGGCAGCAGCAGAGGAAAAGCTTCTGCAGTTCCAGAAGAGACAGCTAAAGGAACAAGGCGCAGGTAGTCTAAAGAAAGGCTAAAGCGTATTTTAGTTGCAGATAATTCATGTGAATGGATGATTTCTGGTAAAGACATAGACTTAGACTGTGTGTCTGCCTTGGAATTCCTGTGACATCAACTCCCAAACTTGTAGTACCTCAGTTGCTTCTCCTCTATGAAATAGATATGGTAACAGTCCCCTTTTCCGGAGACCCTGCGACCTGAAGAAATTCAACAGCCTAGCTGTGATGCAACTGTGCAAGATGCTAGCAATAACATCCATTTCTTGATGTTTTTGTTATGTACCTTTTCTGAAAACCCAAGTCCCAGTAGCTACACAGTAGGGGGGAGGAGGGAGAGAAGATATTGTACTCCTAACAAATAGTTGCACAAAAAGACTAAATGCCAAACAGATTTTTAAAACTCTAATTACAATTTAAGATAAATCATGCATTTGAGACAATACTTGTAACATCAGTATTATAACAGTATTTTCTTTCTATTGGTAATTGATGAAAAAAAACATTTCCTAAATAGGAAGTATGTGAGCAACTAATAGTTGTTGGTGATCTGTTTCTAAGAGGCAGAAAAACACAGAAAGAAGAACGCCTGGAGTATGAAAGAAGAAACCAGGAGAAGACAACATATGAGGCTGAGGAGCAAATAAAGAAAGAGGAAGATGCTGGACTAACTCTAGAGGAAGCCAAACAACAAGCACAGGTTTTAATCAGGTATGTAGCTATTAATCAGAGCGATGTTATTTTTTTCTCAGTAATAATACATGTTTAACACCCAGTGCCTGCCTATACAAAATACTCTGTAGTCAGGAGTTCTATCAGTGCAGTTAACATTGAAGAGTAGCACTGGTACCTCAGGAGTTAAGTTGCCTTCAGTTCAGACTCCAAGACATAATGCAGTTTTTCCGCTATTTAACCAGTTCTACAATGTTCCCCAAAATTCCATCAGCAATTCACATATATCTTATCTGTATTTTTTAATTACTTTAGTTTTTAACATCCCTTTACACTACAGAAAGAAGCCCAACTAGATTTCCCCACGTACTTGAAACTATGATTACTTTTACACAGTCCATCAGAACAGATTCCAGCATAGCATGCCTCCAGGACTCACTCCTACCAGCACCTCAGAATATAGAACCCAGGAGTCTGCATACCACATACCAAAACATTGCAAAGAGCATAGCAGACCTTCTTAAAGGAAGCCTAGATCAATTTGTGAGCCACAAAGCACTACCAGGGATAAGCAGATATGCAGTACCTACAGCTCAGCACTAGCAACTATCCTGCTTGCTGTTACGATAGAACGAACTGCCCCAAATGCATAAGCCAACATCCTCTTCCCCAGCCCATTCCAAACACTGCTTAAACCCAACTCCTGGGGGAAGTCCAGCCTCCCTGCCTCAGAAGGCACTATATACACTGTGGCAAAGTCAAAGAAACTAGGGGTGAACCAGTGATGAGACCACAGAGTGTGTAGGTTTCAAGTCAAAGCATCAGCTTCCTAAACCAAGGAGGAAGCCTGCCCTGTGTCTGCAATCTGCTTTAACAATGTTTACAGGCAAAGAACAGATCTAGAACAACCTCTGCAGTTCCAACTAGCACTACTAATAGAAGCTACCTGAGTAGAACACACTCAAGATGCTCTTCACCTACCATGGGTGCTTTCTTATTTTCAGCTGCTTGAAAAGCTAGGCCTGAAAACTACAAAAGAATAAATGAATGCCTGGAATAGGTCATTGCAGTGAACTCTTTTCATTGCAGCCTAACTCAAGATTCCAACCGGATTCAAGAGAAGAACAACATTCCTTTTCAAGCTATTCTCATTCAGAAAGCTGTTTTCCCCAGACTTCACCAGTAGTCTGTGTATACATCCTATGATCACAAGTAATAGCAAGCATTCATGTTTTATGAGCCAGTAGAAGTAAATCTGGACAGACCTAGAGGTGCCACAGTACAGATTTTTTGGTCTATTTTGTGCTGAGAGAAAATAATGCATCTATCAGTTTATAAGAGATATGAAGACCTCAGTGCCGACTTTCGGAAGAATTCTCCAAACCAAGAAATTGCAATAAATATACCACTGTTTAAGTAAAAGGCTAGATTTCAGATTCAACAATAAGACAACAACAGAGAAACTACAAGGAAATTTTCTTCCTTGCAAAGTAGGTTTATTTTCTGCTTCTCTAATGCTACCTTACATAAGAAAGTGTAACATTTGTAGATTCAGTTCATATGGCAGCTCCTGTAGAGTCTCCTGTGGTGAAATCAAATTTTGCAGTCTCTAAATTGAAGCTGAACTTCATTAAATTAAGTATACATTAAGTACTGATTCTAAAAGCAAAACCAAAACTGGTTTACACTACTTCAGACTTGCACAACTCCTACAGTACTCTCTATTGATTACTCTCAGAACTTGATTTTCTTATTTAAGAACATTTACCCAAATAGCAATTAATTCAGAAGTGCATACCAAAGATGTATAGGTCAGGACAGATATTTTTGCATTGTATTCTTAAGACTAGCTTCAATTTAAAAGTAGGAAAAGCTAAAAAGTAGCACACAGTTGTAGTGCTTCTGAAACAATACATGGGTAGTCAAAATTTGTGACAGACTGAGTTTTAGCATCATCTGACACCCTAACTGAAGTTCAAATCCTGCCAATTCACACATTTAATTTCAAAATCTTATTTAACTGATGACAATGTAGACATATTTATACTGAAAAGAATACAGAAATCCTTTAAACATAGCAGCTTTAAGAAAATCTGTTGAGACTGATAATTTTGTAAAGCACTTATCAATACAGCTTTTATATGCCACTGTACTGAATACTAAAAATACCAATTTCAAAATTAGAACCAAAATACTAGCTTCCACCGCATAACTGACTCAGTGAAGATGGTTTCATTCTCCGACCATTTTTCTTAAACACTTAAAACCAGCCATGAACAGCTGAGCTCCGTTCTTCCAATATGTAGGCAAGCATGTGAACAAACTGCAGGAGAAAAAGAATATTTTCCGCTTTTCTCCAACATATGAAGGCCAACCCCACTTGCAGGCATGCTTCAAAGCTAAGAGTGATTTAGAAATTCTATTCTTCTCAGGAAGAAATTCTTTAAAAAGTAGTAGTTCTTCCAGAGAAATGAAGAAAATTCAAGTCTGTCTAATCCTCGAGTTCAAAACTCAGGTTTGAATGTTCAACTTCCAAGAATGATATTCCTTAAGAAAGGTACTAGTGCACCTGTGTAGCACATGTATCTTCTCATTTTACATGAAGCTCTCAATAGTAATCTTTGAGGCAGAGTAGAGTTTTCCTGTTATTACTGTTCCATCAAGTTATAACAATGCAGACATTGCTGTAGACCAGCAGCTCCGTTGAGGCACTCGCTTCATGTCTGAGGCTTCACAAGTTTGAGAAAGAGGTCAGATCAGTTTGTCACTGGTACCTTATCCACCCTATAGAGAGATGCATTTTAGGACAAGGTTAAAGAATTCTTCGCCTTGAGCTTCAATCTCTGCAGGAAACCCTCCTCCATAGTCTCAAGAGAACCAAGTGCAGTGCTTCAACTAGAAAGCTAATATAAATGAGCATATTAAAACAGATTTAGAATAGGAAAGTGAATAGTAAGAAGCAAAGATGGTGCAGGAACTAGAGTACAAGCATCACACCCATGGGATCTGGACTCAGTTCTCAGCTCCACCTTCAGCTTCCAGAGTGACCCAAGTAAACTACCATCTCCGGAGCCTCAGATCCTAATTTGCTGAAGGGCAATAACGGGAATTTGTTTACCAAGAGCATTAGATAAATTAAAATTAGAAGATGAATTGATCGTAATCACAAGGCTGTTTTATTTCTGGTATTCTGAAGCAGATGTATTTACTATTCTAAAAGAATACTGGAAAAAAGGGCAAAGAAGCCATGTTGTTCTACATCCCAGTAGAATTCCCTCTTCCCCCTAAGAGCTGAATTACATCAAATACTTCAATAAAACCCCATATTCTGATATTTTGTAAACAAAAATTTTAATCTTTAAAAAAATTGCTTAGTGCAACTACGTGTACAAAAGTATTATTAAATCGGAAAGAGGACACAAACCACAAGCATGAAAGAAAATGCATTTCTAGCTTTACAGCAAAAGGTAATAATTCAAAATAATGCAATTTCTTCCAAGTATGCCAGCACTAAAATGCATCTTTAAATGAAGTTGGCATTCGTAGTGAACTTGGTTTACCAAGCCATACATGAATCCTATTTATCTGCAGAAAAGCTGAAGCAGGGGCAGTGCAGAAGTTTTCTCCTCACACTACTCTGCCCGCAACCTCCCATCTCAGCTTTCATAACCAGTAACATGCTCTCAAACTGACCATTTAGAACCTGCAACTAGCCAGAACATGAAAATCAACCCTCATGAGGCCTGATGAACTGTAACTCTTTCTTGTCATCCATCACAGACACAGAGAGATTAATGGTACCATGATCATATGAAATGCAAACATTAAAAACCATCTTCGTATTTCCTTCCAAGCTGCATTTTTAGTTTAACTTTTGTGCATAAAGTTCTACGCAGCTGTATGTGAATATTCTCTAACAAGAAAAACACACAGATTGTAGTCTCAAATAGTCACCTGCAAACCAAGCAGATCAAGTATTTCACTGGGGCAAGCAGAAAAAAGTTGTTGGGTTGTTAGTTGTTTTTTTTTAATGAGGTATATTTAAAGGGCACATTTTTTCCCTGGCTTCAGCATATAGTTACTGGAAAAGCATGCCCTAATTATAACTTCCTTTCATTTGGCTCATTTCCAAACACTTGAAAAGAAAATACAAGTTGTTTATAAAATTGTTTTTCTTGTTTATTTTAAATGAAGCTGGTACAGACAATGTCCATTCAAAACCCACGTCCCAGGCCAAAAGGTACAAACAAGAGTGTCAAAGTAACACCAGTTGTCTGCTGTGAACATTCCTGCACGAATACCTGCGTGTACTAATTGCTATATGAAGTTAAAATGCTTCTGGGCTCTTCTGGCAAGATTTAAGAATCGTTAGGGTTTTCAATTTTATGTCTTCAGCAAAGCCATCTCTGGAGCAAGGTACAGATGACAACAGTTCTAGCTTTTCCATTTCCGACTTGGTAATCTTCTTCATTGGGCCATCAGCACAATTTAAGCAAAATAGCTCTGAGTTATGGATACACAATTTCTCCACAGTTTAGTTCTCTGAAAAACTTCATCTCGCACTGAAAGTTATAGTCCAGGAGTGAAACAGTCACACATCAAAACTTCAGGGCAGATATGGAAGTCGTTAAGAACACTTGCCCACCTGGCAGATCTTACAGCCTTCGTGCCTGAAATGCACGAACCTAGTGAACATACAAATGCATGTGTGTACATGTATTTCTAAAGGGGAGGGCAGAAGGGAAGAGGGGAGCAAGGCTGCAGCTGGATCACAGAAGTTCAGCACAATGAAAACAGAAACAATAGTGTATAATGAGCACGAGAATTCAAAATACCAGACGCCTGAAAATAAACTCCCAGAGATGGGGTGCCAGTTTCAATTCAGTGTTGAACACCACATTACAAAAGAACTATTATTTAAAAATAAAAAAGGATTAAGGGGGGAGAAAACAAACAGAAGGATCTAAATTGTTGAGTGACCCCCCGTCTGTTCCTGATAAACTTCAATCACATCTTCCTCCTCCATCCCCAGCTGCAAG